ATGACTACTGAAATCTGGATCCAAAGATCAGCTCTGACTCATCATTTATAGTTAACTCTCTGTCACTCAGTCTTCTTAACTCTTAAGGTGGGACTAACCTTTGTACTATCCATAGGACTTTGTGAAATAAAGTGAAAATTTGTAATCAGTTACAATCGAATCTAGGTTATACCAAGCACCTCAGTACATGTCATCTGATGTTATGTTTTTGTTGTTTTATAGAGAAGTCACTATTTTGAGTTAATAAGCATAAAGGCAAACCCAACTGCAACTCCCATGTTTTCTTTTTTTTCTCTTTCTCTTTTTGAGACAGGGTCTCACTCTGCAGTTCAGGCTGGCATTGAGCTCACTTTGTAGCCTAGGCTGGTCTGGACCTCGCAACAATCCTCCTGCCTCAGCCTTCCGAGTGCTGGGATTACAGGCATGTATCATTGCGCCCAGCCCTCTTATGTTTTCAAATGTCATCATTAACAATGACACCATTGTTTCTGAATTATCACTTTGTTTGATTTCTTACATTTTACAATTACTAAAAAGTAAATTTAGTATAATTTCACAAATCCTCTAAGTCATATCAAGGATTTGTTGGTAGGGGATAAATTACATTCTGTGTGGTAACGTTATTAAAATATTAAAACTACAAAATCTTGAGAACAAAGTGACATTGGTGAAATTTAAAGTATATAGCATCACATTTTCTTAGCAGTGGAAATATTTAGTTTATATTCAATATTTTAGAAACTGATCAGATTTTGAGTACAAATATAAATTTATAAATACTGTTACTCAGTGGGCAGGATAGACATGGGGCTAAATTGTGAAAATCAACCACTTTACCACCAGGTAGGAGCTACAATTCTTCTGTCTTCAACCTGTTCTGTATAACTGAGTTAGGTGAGCTTATATGTTTTCTATTTTTCTTGACACACAATTGTAAATACTCATGAAATTATGTAATTTGAAAGAAGTGGGGCACTTAATCCCTTAAACTGTCATCACAAATGACTGAATGATCCTTTAAAAATAATACCATGCCTTCCTCTGTAAAAATACACTGGAGCTTTCACATTAAATTAAATGTCCTGATGTCATTAAAACTAAAATATCTCCACTATCTCAATTTATCTGCATTTCATTCATTGCTGTGGCACTTACAAATAATTAATTATATCAAGAAATATAAATCTAGATAACTTAAAAGAAAAAAGACTGAATTTTCCATCTTAATGATGTAGAAAATTAAAAATTGTACTGAATATTTAACTGAAAATATTAGGCAATACATATTTACATATATCTAGAAAAGAAAGGACCACATAGAACCTAGAACTAATCGATGGACTGCATATACAAAAGGGAAATAGTAAAAGTATACACAAAAGTAAAATTGAACCCACTTCTTACAGCAACCTACTCAGAAAACAACCTTCTGATCTGTACTGAGCAGCTCAGGAAGTCAGATTGCTTTAAATTAGATAAGTTTATGGAAAGCAATACTGCTTCTCTTTCTGCTTTGGCAATCTCTGGTAAAAATCTATGAAGCACAACAGGAACTGTAGTAACAGTTACTCTCCAATGGCCAGAGCTTGGTTAACAACTCAATTTCCCCAATTTTGTCCTTCCTTCTAACCTAGGACAAACTAGAGAAAGCCAAATATGTACATCCAACAAATGATTTCCAATCTTCTGCAGCTTTCCCAGACCTCAAGCCTCCCCTATGTTTTCCCTATAAAGTTTTCCTACTTTATCTGCCTTTTACTTTCTACCAAAACTGAAATGATCCTGGCTGACTCTCTTGCCATAGCAACTCTCACTTGGTTAATCTTTCTTTATTTCCATACTGCTGAGGGCTTACCACACGAAGTAGCTTTTCATTTTCTTCTGTTTGCAACATGCTAGAAGAAGTGCTGTTGCCCTATTCCTTTGCGCCAAAAATAGTTGAGAGACTAGTAAGTGTGTCTACCAACATAACTTCAGGTATAAAATACATGGCTGTTTGCTAGCACTATTTGTATTTGCTTCCATCAACTTTTTTTGACAAATATCAGTATTGTAATTTGAACTGATTCACTACCTTATATAATTTACCAAAATTCATATGGAATTTAAAATAATACAAACACAACAGAAGAAATAATTCCTGTAAGTTATTTGAAATTAAAACACATGCACAGAAATAGTATGCTTGCAAAGTGGTCATTCCATCGAGAGTCTTTGCATACATAATGGGCAGAAAATTCAATAAAAATGTGATTGTTTATAATATATGATATTGACAAAGATAAGTACAAATAAAATTTGGCCCATTTTCAAAAGAGGTAATACTTACTTGCTTATAGATACAGATATTGCCTAACATTCATATCAGACAAGTATTGCTTTGTTTATTTCAAACAATGGTTTGTAAAGGTTTCCTACTTTATAATCACACATAAAACTTCTAGATTAGTGAGGTATAAGGCTTATATTTAAAAACTAAGATATTTGGTTTCAAAGTTTACCAAATATGCTTAAAAACATCACCAAAACTTACTTTAAGGTGCTCTCTTAGTACATAACTCAGGCAAAGAATCTAAAATTTAGTGTATATGTATGTATGTAATCATGTATGTATGTATGCATTCATAACGGTGATCAAGGGCTTTTCGCATGCTATATAACTGACCTATCACATTGACAGGTCATTCTCAGCCCCTGAAATTGAAGGAATTTATATTCTAACTATGCAATAACGTAACTCAGTCTTGCAAAAAATAAAGGGGGAGAGGCAGCAGTTTAGCTCAGTGGCATACCACCTGCCTGGGAAGCATGAGGTCCTGAGTGTGAGTCCCAGCACTCTTCCCACATAAAAATTACAAAAACAAAGGGGGAAATAGTATCTACGTATCAGAAATTTCCATAAAAGACACATAAATACAATTTTAAAAACATTATGATGATATGAATATCTAATAATATTTTTTCAGTATTTGAAAAATAATATGATATTAAAGCACAAATTATTTTTCATGGGCTGAAAAGTAAACGTAAACTCACAGCTAAAAGTGTTTAAATAAAATTGTGTAGTGGAAAACACTGACTAAAGTCAAATATAACCTCATATGACTTCTGTTATTCCCATTAATTCCATTTATTTTGCTCAAGCTTTTATTAGGAATACTTTGAATTGAATATCACACATTAAAGAGCACAAAATCTGGAATTTCTGAATTCTTATAAAAAGAAAAAGACTCAAAATTTTACAGCATTTTGCTATAAGAAATAAAAATATCTTGAAATTTCCCAATTTTGATCAAAATTGAATTTTTTTATTTAAAATTGTCAATACTGGGGTGTAGTTGCTCATTTTGCAAAGTGTACAGAGCAGGACAAGTGTGCCTCCTTTACACACCACCTATGCACATCTCAAAGATTTATACTTTCCAGGAAGACTGAACTAATTATCTATGAATGAATTTGGTTTTTCAAACCTTTGATGTATCTGCTCCCCATTGGGCACATGATGAAACTTCACCTTGTGCTGCAATAATATAATTTTTCATAGAAAAGAAGAATTAATTTTCCCCATCATTGTCTCTATCTACATTGGACCTTTTAAGTGAAAGCAAAATGCTGAAATGTATGAACAGGTTCACGGATGCATTTTGTAAGTCAGTTATCTGGAGAATTTATCAGAGAGCACATGTCCTAGACACTGAGTTTATTAATGCCAAGAAAAACAATAATATCATGAAAACTGCATGTTCCAAAAATATTAAAGCCGTATTAGACTGTGGTGGACACAGATGCCTTATATTAGAAGTAAGCATTCCCTCTGGCTAGCTGCATGACAGTAGTCAAATCAACTAACTTCACTGTGCAAGTTTTCTTATTTTTTAGAAAGGAGCTAATAGTACCCGGACCTCATGGGACTATTTTAAGGATTAAGCGCTAACACACAGCAAACAGTAGGCACTGCTTTACCATTGCTGTCTCTCTGCGGCCAAGCAATCAACTTCATGTGGTAAAGCAAGACTCTTGGCTCCTCAGTCACGGAGATGGTAGGGGAGACTAAGAGGAAGAACTGTTTCCCAGAAGGAAAATGGCACCATGCTTTGCATCTGATCAGTGGAAGAAACTGCAGAAATGAACGTAGTGCTTTGCCATGTTCCACGACAGCCACAGCGCAGCACTCCTCCCAGGGGCCACGGCCTCTCGATCTCTGTGCTGCTTTCATCACCTGGGATGCTTCATTAAAGCAGGGACTAGGTCAAAATGCCCTGAATCTCAAATACAGATTAATCCTTCTCATATAGACATACTTAGTGAACTTGGAGTGGACGGTAAATAAATTTTTAAAAATAAATACATAAGTTTGATGGCTAGTAGAGAAGAATGGTATTTATACAGTTGCACTTCATATCTAAAATAAAATGGTATTTCTTTTCAAAATTATTCCAGAACTTAAGTTCAGTTGTCCTTTTGATACAAGTGATTTAATTCCAATGATTACATAGTATTTTTTGATTGTATTGAAACTTGACAGAAATATTAAATGCTTCTTAAATGAGGAAAACAGTGCTTACAAGCATGACTTCTTCACTAATATATCATTTTTTTTCAGGAAAAAACAACAGAAAGCCTATTTTATAAGAATTTTCTTCATTTATAGGCATATAATTTTATCCATTTAATTGGTTTTTAAAAAATTAAGCTTTGTTTTAACTAACCAAAAATGGAGACAATGTTCTTTGAAGTGTGGAGGATAATTCAGAATACAAATTGTATTGCCCAAACTTGTCTCCCAAATTAACTTATATATATATATAATATATATTATAATATATACACTAATATATATGACAAATGATGCATATCTTTTGTGAGAATTGTATGTTTTTAATCTAGAACTCACAATGATTATAATTATATAGTTATTTTGACATTTTAGTGTTTATAATTTGTTTTCATCATTTTATTTCTCAAAGACAATATAGTACTTGTGCGTAATTACTTCTTACCCTGTTTGAGTCAATTCTTGCCCTGGAAGTGTAGATGGGGGGAGGGATGTTGAATGCCTGGGGGACCAGGTACTCCTCGGCATCCATCATATCTTCCAAATCCTCTTCATCCAAGAGATTCTGGAAGAACTTGCTGTCATTTGGACTGGGAAGCTTCATACGATCGTCACCCTAAAAGATTGCCCATCAGACACACAAAAATGATTCTTCCCTTCATCTTAAAATATGTGTTCTTCACAGCAAATTTATGGAATAGCAAAACAAACGGCTAAATACTCATGCACTCATTTCTCATTTCAAAAAATAATTGTTTGGCACATCTACTGGTCATGAAGCTTATAGTATGTTTAGGTATGACAGGGTAAGATAGACTAATATAATACAAGATAAAGTGTGGTAAAGGCCATTAGAAAGTAATAAAACAGGCTGCTATGGAGATTGTAAGGTAGGCAAAGTCTATTTCACATTTGAGAATAATTGTTCATTGTCAAGATGGTATGAGGAAAAAAAAAAAAAAAGAAAAAAGAAAAAAAAGAAAAAGGGGCTGGGGATTTAGCTCAGTGGCAAAGCGCCTGCCTGGGAAGTGCAAGGTCATGAGTTCGGTTCCCGGTACCGGAGAAAAACAAAAAAAAAAAAAAAGATGGTATGAGGACTGTGACTTTAAGAGTAAATAATAAAGGACAATCTACATCAATCGTTATCTTATGAGGTTGGTTTGAGGCTACAGAGTTATCACAACGTAGAATCTCCACAATTTTTTTCTACATTCTCATGACTCCATTGTCAAAGTGGTGACGATCAAATTCATAGCATAACTGTCAAAGAGACTAAGAGTTTTGGCAATGAAATCAAAACCGTTGCTACATTCCTTCCCGCTTTATTTATTTCTTAAATAATTTGTTTTAGTTTGCAAAGTCATACTACTTTTAGTCAACAACTGCAGCTCAGGAACGTTAATTTTGGAGGAAAATAGCTGGCAGTCGTTCTCTCCTAAAACCTGGCTTTTCTCTTCACATGAGACCATTGACACGAAGATAAAGCTCACTTGTTTTAATGAGGAAGCATAATTCAGCGTATCCAAAGTCCATTTGCTTATGGTTTAGGTGAAAATAATCATAGAGAAATTATTATACTTATTCAACTTATTTTTTCTAGTGTTAAATACTAAATGTTCTTTTGGCCAGTTGTTTTATTCGTTGCATGCATCAGTTCATATGAATCCAGTTATTCCTTGGATACTGCATGCCTCCCCAAACAAAACAAATCATGTTTTAAAATATTTTTCTTAAAAATTAAATGCAAACTTTTTTTCATATATTTATTTGTCATTTGTGCTTCTAGTGAGAAGTGTTTATTCATATCAGATACCCATTATTGGACAGGGTCTTTAAACTGGGAGGGTCTGAAGTTTTTCAGTTCTTTATATGTTCTAGGTATTAGCCCTTTGCCTGAAAAGCAGCTGGCATTTTTTTTCTCACTAATGTTGTGTTATCTCCCTGGTGTGAGAAATTGAAAATGTAGATAAGAAGAAAAATATATAGTAGATATTGTGAAATAGGATGAAACTATTCAAAAGGAAAAGTGAACTAGGAAGGGGGAGAAGGAAAGGAAGGAAGGGAAAGAAAAAATTCAGAAAAGAAGGATAAAATGAAAACCCAGCTTTGTGAACAGGAAGGAGAAGAAAGGTTGGAATGGAGGGGATAGGAGTGGCGGAAAAACAAAGGAATCAAGATATATCATGCACAGGTCCAGACTCCCTATAATGAATATGGTCACTATGTACACCTAGACTGTGTCCATAAACTCAAATAAATAAAAGAGAAAATGGGTCAAATAAATAAATAAAAGCAAATTAAAAAATAAATATACTGAAATTTTTTAGCCATTTTCTTTAAGTATGGACAAGATTAAAACAAAAATCTATCTCCCTTTGATTGTGAAAGATGAAGATTATAATAATGGACATGTCTTACCAATAATGCTAATAAAAGGCAGGTGCTACAAAGTCTGTTGGGGGGATAAATACGTTTTCATGTACATGGCAACTATAATTATGTGGCTATTCAATAGCAATGTCACATGAGTTCTAAGGGAAGATAGAAGTGGTTCTGAGACAAAGTAAAGAGTTCTGTTGCTTAAGGCTTTCTTCATTATAATCTGTTTAGTCAGTATGTTAGCATTCATCTCTGCAGGTGTCAAGTTTGGAAATCCACATGATGTAATGAATTTGTCATGGTAATGGTCTTAACAGCAAAGCCAGATGAACTCACCTGAATAACTAGATATCTTTGAGGGTCTCGAGCCATCCTTGAGAATTCGGCAGCCAGTTCCTTGAATTTAGGTCTACTGTCTGCATCAATCATCCAACCTGGAAATGTTCACACAATAAAAGGTGTCAGTACATCTATAATTAGGAAAAAAGAAGCAAGATTTAAATTTTGTGAAAAATATGGGCAAAATGTGAAAAATATTTTTATGTAAATTATCTGAAAAACAAAGAAAGCTAGTGAAAGAAACATCCCCAGTAAGTAAGGCTCTCACTCCATCTATGGCAATTCATAACATAATACACTATAAAGTAACAAATACAATTTTTGTTTTATTGACATGATTTAAAAATTATTTTTCTTCTTAGAAAATAGAACCCAGACTAATTCTGAGGCCTCTGCTGTTGTTGCCTTTTGTGATGGGGATAATTTTTCAAAAATTTTATTTGATGGTTATAGATGAAGCAAGTGTAATATAAGCCATCATCTTGTACCTGTAATAGCATGGGAGCAGAAGAGATTTGTTTGTAACTGGGTATGCTGCCATACAGATTAAGAAAGGAATGAAACCAACTTTCTCATACTACTCCTCTTCCTGTCCTTGGGGGAAAAAATCGAAGCAGAATGATTGCTAATGTTTGTTCAGCAATAGCCATTAGCTTATCTGAGTACTAGCTTTTCCAGCATAAAAATGACATCAGCAATTTTCAGAGTATGTATTATTATTATTTAGCTGGGATTCTAGATAAAGTGCATCTTATCTCTCTAGGCTCTGGTGAGCTGATGAGATGACATGAATAAAAGCACCACATTTTCTTTGATTTTTTTTTTTAAATCAGATGATCCCTGGCTGAAGTATTAAAACTCTGGATTGAAACAAAAAAAAACCTTTCAATCAATTTCGGTAATAAAACAAAATGTATGCTTAGTTTTACATCACTTCATCAGAGGATATGAAACATGTCCTCTCCTGGTTATGGTATCGAATTATACACACAGCATGCATGTTTTCAAGTTCTCTTCCATAGACACACACCAGACACTGTTTGGCTGGATAAAGCTAGAAAGTTTGTTTCTCCTTTTCTGAGAGTTAATTTTTATCCCTGCTTTGGGAATTCTTGGGTGTCGTGCATAAGTAATGTCACTTATTTCTTTTTCCCCCTCCAAAGAAATCTCAAACATTCTATATGTATTCATTCAAAAATGTTTACTAGTGCTAAGATGCTGAGATAAGGGATGTTTCTGGGGCTACTGGAGACAAAAAAGAGGTTAACTTCTCAGGAGGTGTTACATTCTCTCTAACTAAATGTTGAGTAAATGGAACCCTGCTTAGGGAAAAGGGAACACCGACCTGAACTGCAAAGAACATTTTTTATTCCCTCCCTCCCTGTCAGAATGTATCACACTTGTCAGGAATATAAATCTGAGTAGACCTGGATCCAAAGTCTCTTATTAATAAGATGCTTATTCACCTTCACCAGTTTGTTTCTTTGCTAACTGTGTAAATCAAAAGAGGGGAAACCCAGATTATACAAGAGAGAGCACCGTGTGTTAATCTCACATATATTAAGTCAGAAACTCCAGGGACTTTGCTAATTCTATTTAAATTAAGGGTTAGGGTTTCAAAACACATCTGTAACACATATGTGAGGGGCATAGAAGGAGCGAGAAAAGTAAGAGACGCTGGTGGCAACAAATGGTCGAGATGGAAAAAGTAGACATTCATTCATTAGCTCAGTGCAGTCATTTCTGCCCATTTCTTACTTTGCACCTTGCCTGCTAATTTGCTTTTGACCGAAACTAATAAACCTGTTTCCATTTAATTTCTTTTTGTGCTCTCAGCTTCATGCTTTCTTTCTTCATATTTAGATCATTTATTTAGATTTTTCCAATTAGGATTACTAATGATAGCATGAACAACATTAACTTTCCCACTAATGTTATTATGACTGTATCTCTTTAGGACAGACAATTTGACTACCATAAAAAATTATAAGAAAAAGAATATTAAAGTGATATACTTTTGATTTCATAGCAAAAAAAACTATGCTATGAAATCAAATCATATTATTTTAATAATAATCTCACAAACATAGATTTTTTTCTAGTCAATTCATAATTATTTCTGGCTTGTTACATTTGTCGATATGGAAAAACATTACACAGGTAACCGATATCATTTCATTCAGAATGATGAAGATGATAAAGTTATTTTGTGATCTTACACTTGACCATGACCATGTAAACATCAATAGTGCAGATGGGAGGCTGCGGCAAACGCTCTCCTTTCTCTAATAAGTCAGGGATTTCTCGGGTTGGAATTCCATCATAGGGTTTTCCCCCAAAGGTCATCAGTTCCCATATAGTGACTCCTAATTGAAAACAAAATTCTTACATAAGCATATTAACAACATAATTTCAACAAAGAACTTCTATGGCAATAAAATAAAATAAAATTCTCCTTAACAGTCAATCCAAAGAAGGTTGAAGACACTCATCATATTCCTGTATGCATTATGCCAATCACAATGTTGAAACTTTTCTGGGACATATCAATTCTCTTACTACTGTCTCGGAGTTTTAATGCATAGCAGAGAAAATTTAGAGTGACCATTAGAATAGAGACTCTGTTCCCCATTTCTACTCATAAGTAATGCTAATGTTTGCTGATCCAATTTATGTTTCACTGTACCACATTTACAGCCCATTATACAAGGCATTTACTGCCTATATATATGTTCAGTACCAAAAAAATAAGGCACCAGGAAATATATGGTATTGATTGTTTTTGAGATTAGCCTCTTTGCCACACAAGCACTAAAAGGCTAACCTGGGGCTTTGGAATGTGTGATACATTAAGAAGGGAAATTCAGCTCTCTTTTTAATTAGAAAAAGAAAACAAGTGGAACAAACATACTAATTTATTAGTTCATATAAGAGCCTGAGTGAGGTTGAGTCCTATTTACGATATAATACAGTTGAAGTGGGCATCCAAAGAAAATTAGGACTCAAGAATAGATTATTTCTGGGGCTGGGGATCTAGCTCAGAGGCACAGCGCCTGCCTAGCAAGCGTGAGGTCATGAGTTTGATTCCCGGTACCAGGAAAAAGAAAAAAGAAAAAGAAAGAACAGATTATTTCTTACATTTAAAAAAGTAACTTTCTTGAAACATTAGAATACTGATTTACTCTGGAAAAAATACCCTAATATTAATATGCAAATAGATAATTTTGAAAATAATGATTCTGATTTAAGGTCTAATATGTACATTAGGGATAGCTTCTTGAAATAATAATAGCATAATTTTAAGGGTTTTTTGGGAAAAAAGAATTTTAAATTGGAAATGGCTCAGTGGGTACGATAATGTTACAACATGAGTTTTTGTGGCTGTATATATAAGATCTATTTTAATATAAAACCAATTAATTCTGGTTATGTTTCAACTTCTCTCTGCAATGAATTATTTATTTAGATTGAAGTTCATGGCAGTCATAATTATCTGATAATAAAAACATCTACCTTAATTAAAAGTATATGTGAATTTCAAATTATCCTTTATAATACACACATTGTTATTATTTTTTTAATATTTGCATCCTATGATTTTTAAGTACTGTATAAACCTGTAACTGATAACACAGTTTTACTGATTGATGTTTATTACTTTCTTAATTTTGCATATTAAAGAACCACTTCATAGTTCTGATGATTACAATCTAGAGTCTTTGAGACAGACTGGGACAAGTTCAAAGGTGTATGAATATCTATTCCTATTTACTCAGTCAGACTTGTATAATACATATTTAATAGAACATTTTATTATCTCAGGCAGTTATAAAAGGCAGAATACTCTCACATATTTATCAGGACTTCCAAAATAAATAATATGTGAAGCAATTACAAGTCAAAATAAAGAATATAATGAACACAAGCATATAAACCCACAGGATAATTTCAGAGAAACTAAATCAGAACCATCTTTAAAACTTACACCCTAATTCCATTATCTGTAGATATATCATAGCTGTTGCATCTTTATGTAAATTTAGATATGATGATGCAACAACTATAATTTCCTATAAAAGTGTACTGTAAACCAGAGTATGCAGCTTTTGCTATTCTTTATATCTTTTGCATTCAGCTATGACATATTATAGGAAGCTGTGAGTGTTTTTTTAACATATGTTGATAACCATTGTTTCAAAATATTGTATGGTCTTTTACTGAACAGCCTCTGGAATTTTGCAACTCATCATGAAGAAGACTATTCTAATCTGAGAGGCCTGATTTTTCTAAAAGATAAAATTTACTATTAAAAATATAACTGTCCTGCAAATATTTGTCTGTTTTGAAGTCATTTAAAAGTAACTGCTGCAAAGTACCACATCTAATTCAGGGATATATAAGTGCAAACAGAAAAGAAAAACATACATATGCATGTATGACAGCACATAAATATGTCATAAAATATGATATATACATCTATCTGTTTCTTATATTTATGTTATTCTGTGCTATGTAATATATAAATGCCAATGTATGTGTTAATTCATATATCATATAATGTATATATTGATCACATAATATAGATCATAGATTTCCTTTTCTCTTTATCCTTTATAGCAATTTAACATTGAAATTTTGTCAAGCACTTCTCCTATTTTTTTAAACTTCAAGCACTCCTTCTTTACTTCTAAGATGAGGAGAATGTGTGGTCATCTTGGAAATTTTAATACCTGACATGGTATACAAATGGGGGGAATCTACTTCATTGAAATATCTTAAATAATTTATTAAAGAAAATGATTTTTTAAAATAAAAGGTGGAAGAATGGAAACACACTTTACTGAAAGGTCTCAAATACTTTTAAAGATAATGAGCTGCTTTCCTAAATCAAAAATGTATGTCATTTAGTGATTAATTAGGCAAACCTTTGTTCTAAAAATGAAAAATGATGAAACTGAGCTTGAGTTTGAGAACAGTAAACTGTAGCATACTTTAAAATCTGAACAACAACCATTTTATTTAAATGGGCACTGTGCTTTCATTTGTAATACATATGAGTTATACGGTATTTTTAAACTTGGGAAAGGTATTCACTCTTTGTTGTCAAGCTGTTCACAAAACTGTTAGTAGTCAGCTGCTGAGTGATTGAAATAAACATAATGAAATAAATGTTGCAGTAATAAATATTAATCCTTGGGTCTGGCATTATTGACTCTATAACATTACTGTCACTCCAAGTCATTTTTAATTTAAAATCAAACTTTCAGTTATGAGACTTCTGCCTTGCCTCTTCCTTCATTTTTGTTATTCTCACATTTACAGTAATTGCTTTTTATTATGACAATTGACTATATTTACTATTATAGAACAGAAATTCCCTTTTGTCTGTTACCACTCATTGCATTCAGAGTAATGTTTTCAGAGAGTTGTTGAAAATATGGCCACAAAATTATATGAAGTTGTTCCTAAGTTAAAGCTATTTTTTCTATAAAAATAGTTAAGTAAATTGTTAGCACACCAGAGTTTACGATGGACCACTCAGAAGGGATATTGGCATATTACATTTTAGAGAAGAGGACATAACAAAAAAGGCAGATAACAATGCTCTTTTGAGTGTTAAGAGAGTAGAGTTAATTTTTTTAGAAGATGAAGCATATAAATATTTCCAACAGGATAAAATACATATAGCTTGAAACAGTTTAAATAAACAAAAATATTTATTTTGCTTTACAAGCCTTACTTCATAAAGAAAATTAATTTACCATAGCTCCAGACGTCACTCTGATGAGTGAATTTCCTATAATGTATACACTCCAGAGCCATCCACTTAATGGGCATCTATAGAGAAATGAGAAGTTTTGTAATTACATAAAAATCATTTCTATACTTTTAAATGTTATCCTCTGATCGTCCTCAATTGTATTTTTGATTTTGTATGTAAAGATATAATTTAAGTAGATTATTTTCCAAGGTTGATAATAAATAAATTGAAATGTATAAATTCACAGTCAGTTAGATGAAAGGTACATTTGGTTTTTGAGAAAAGCTTTATTAATAAGTAAAATAGCAAAATATTAACGTTTCTATATCATGAATTAATGTCTAGTATTTAATTTGCACATAATATTATGACCTACAATATCCAAACTAAACATCAAATGCATATGCTTTAAAAAATTATCCATATTATATTTTTTCTTAAACAGATGAGATTTCTTACATTTTTAGTTATCCCTTTTTTTTATCATTTTAAAGAAAGTCATAAAAAAAGAACAATAGCAAAATACCAACATTTGCCTTCAGACACATTTTAAACCATGACTACAACAAATTCTTTCTGCATTTGCCCCCTCATCTTCCCTCATATATTTTGACCACTAAATTGCCTAAAATCATCAATTCTGAGGCTAGCTTTGCTTCCTTCCCCAGCCACAGATGACCTCCCTTGTCTTGGTTAGCTAGCCTTGAAAATATGTACCATTTCCAAAATAGGAGCGAGTCTATAAAAGAATGTGAGGGGATCAGCACAAATCCATCATCGCTGTAAGAAAAACAACTCAACCCACACACCCTGCTGCTGATGGGTCAGCAGAATGCATTTCAACTCGAAGGGCAGCGTTATAAAGCTGGAAATATAATTAGATTCTATGGAATAAAGATAAACACTTCTACTTTGCAGTTGAAAGCTTAAAACAAAATAGGCCTTTGAAGTCATGAGCTTGGCTGCTCACAAGGTGACACCAAGGTAACTCTATGACAGAATCATGGGATTGAGTGAAAGAGAACAGAAGACACATTGAAAATAATTTCCCTATGGGGAAGGAGTTAGCAGACTTTATGGAGTACAGACATTGTGTTAAAGAAGTAAGTTTAAATCACAGGTTGCTTGATAAAGACTTAACGGTTACCAGGAATTTAAAGCTATAATGAATCTTGCTTTAGACAAATCTTACAGCTGTGTGTTCTTAAGACAAGTGAAGTCATATGATTTATAACTTCTACTACTGTGCAGTCTTGTGGTGAATTTCAAAGCTATGGTCTCTACTGCAGTTTGGTAGTAAACAGGTAAAAGAGGCTAATAAAATCAAGGGAATCTCAGATGAGTTCTCAAAATTGAAGGGTTTTCTTTTTGTAAAAAAAGGTTTTTGTTAATCTTACCTTGAGATAAACTAGCATGCATAGTTATATAAGTGTGAGAGTAAAAAGTTAATGCTAAGCATCTGAAATCCTATCATTATATATTTGGATGCTTCATGATAAATAAGGTACATGAACATTTTATGACATGTGAATAATCCTTTTTTCTTTTTTTTGAAATTGGGAATGGAACTCAGAGCCTTCACCTGACCTACAGCCCCAACCACTTTTAGTATTTATTTTGAGACAGAGTCTCGCTTGTGATCCTCCTGCCTCAGTCTCCCAGGGTGCTTATAGGCCTGCCTCACCACATCTGGGGTAATCTTTATTTTTGTTAAAATAACTTGATCAGTCACTATTGGCTAAGATTGCATTTGTTTATTTCATTTGGACTATCATGACCTAAGCCTCTTTAGATTAAGCTAAATAGATCACTACATGAAGACTAGCTTAACTAGTTAGTGAGAATTTCCAGCTAAACAAAAGGTATGAACTGAGACCACATATGGAAGAAAGAGGCTGAGACTGGAGAATTAGAAAAGGTTGATAAGGAAGAAGCTACAGGTGCTGGGGATTTAGCTCAGTGGCACAGCGCCTGCCTGGCAAGCACGAGGCCGTGAGTTCGATTCCCGGTTCCGGAAAAAAACAAAAAAAAAAAAAAAAAGACAGAAAGAAGCTACAGTAGCTTTGTCCAGTCCCCTCTCATACAGCAGCTTGTATTCTGGTGAAGAATTAGATAATGAACAATGAAGGTCAAATGTACAGTACAATGGAAGCTAAAAGGAATCTCAAAAGTCATACCCAGAAAACTGGAATCCAGCATACTTATAGTAGGAAAATACCCGCTTTAGAGGTTAAATAGAATGGTCATCTTTCAAATGAGTTCTTGGTAGTAGTCAAACTCTCTAGTCTGTGAGAGCATGTGCCTCTCTGTAGGAGTAAATCTTATGCCCTTAGGATCAATGGGACACGTATGGCTTTGTATTTACATTTAAGTTCATAAATTCCTAAGGATCTGTCCACTTCCTATTGCTGCTACTAACATGAAATCACTCGAGTCCAGGGTGCATCATCGTATTTTACCTACCTTTGAGAAACAAAAGGTAGACATGTTATTCTTATTGTTTAAGCACAAATTATTTCTATCACCACCTGAAATGACTGAGTTAGAAGCATCAAAAAATTAAAATGATATTCAGACGTATAAATCTTTGAGGAATAGCTTTATCTCCAACAGAAGATAAATGGAACATAGAACTATCCACACCTGAATTTACCCCAAAAGTGTTGATTTAGTAACAGACTCAATATCTTCCATTTAAGCAAAATAATTGATAGCAGTAATAAATGAGGCATTATAATCGAAATCTCATGCTCACTGGTTTCTTCCTAAAAATTTTTGAAAGATAAAAGGATAAACAGACAACATACTACATTTTCAAGAAGCATTCCTCTCAGAAGGACACCTACCTTCCCTCCATCAGCATTGTACTCTTTTTCATCTCCTTCCAAGAGTCTGGCAAGTCCAAAGTCCGTGATTTTCACATGGTTTGGAGATTTCACTAAGACATTTCGGGCTGCCAAATCCCGATGAACAAGCCGTCTCTCTTCCAGGTACATCATTCCCTACAAAACATCAAGTTCCACACAAAAGAGCCAGTGAATGCCTAAGGTTTTCATAGTCCACAATTTCTTAGCATGTTCTTCATTTCTTTGAAGTGAAGCCAGAATCCTGGAATATTTTCAAGGTAGAGAAAACCTAGTGGTGGTGGAGGGGTGGAAAACCACACAGAGGATTTGCGCTTTTCCTCCTGGGGTCCTGTGAAGAGCAAACTCCCTGCACATAAAATAAGGTCATTTTCTCCAGAGAGCTCACAGTCTTTCTCACACAGTTTCATGAGTGAGGTATGCTTGTGTCTTAGGGAGAAGCTAACATAGATTAGGACTGAAACACATATTCCATGTCATTTTCTTCTACATAGCTTCTGCTTTTCATCATGTTCCTCCAGCATGCCCACTCAACATGCATACACCTCTCCATAATGTTTGAAAAATATTTTATTCCAGGTTTAACACTGCCAAAGTAATTATCATAAATTCTATCAAGACTGAAGAATTAGATTATTCTTCTTAATTGAACACTGAGTGAAATATACCCCAGGGATTTAAAAGGTTTGTCATGTCTAGGAATGCTTCTGTGACATTTGTTGTCACTCTAAGAACACACAAGTGACATTACATAGTTTATAATGACCTGCAAATTAGTCTTTAATATTATATTCATTAATTAGAGAGGGAAATTAAAAATAAAATTTATTGCTGATTGTTGAGATATAGCCAGCTTTCCCCCTCAATCCATACATGAAATATATCAATAACTACAGTGAAAACTTTTCAGAAAATGTATGAGAGTAAAAGGTACGTTGTCATTAATTCCCCTCAAAATCCTCCTCCTTGCCTTGAACTCGCTTACTCTATCACTTCTTGTCATTTACTGAAGTGGTCTGGAAGTCTTTCATGAGTGTCTTTAGTTGCCTACCATAGCTGCCGTGATGTTGTGGAGACACATCGCTGTTAGAAACCTGTCTTTACTTTTTTTTTTTTTTTTTTGGTTTTTCTCCAGTACCGGGAACCGAACTCACGACCTTGCGCTTGCCAGGCAGGCGCTTTTGCCGCTGAGCTAAATCCCCAGCCCCAGAAACCTGTCTTTTCATTGGAAGCAGCATTCACCCCGAAAAGACACTTGATGATAAGAACTGCTTCAGAAAGTACCAAGAAAGATGGGACAGGTGTGTTGGAAGTGAGAGGGAGTATTTTGTGGGCAATTAATGGCTTTTACTGTAATTAAATTTTTAAAATTTAAGTATTCACCATATACTTTGACCATACATCATATATATTTGAGTGTGTCTCATACATACAACATTCATGTTAACATGTATATATATGTTCATAAAATTAAAAACATAGAAGTAATAATTAAGTTGCTAATTATACTTCAGGAGTGGACAAAGAGTTGCTAAACACTATCCTTAACTAAAAAGTTTTTGTAAAACCAAGCCATTAAACTTAGAGGCCTTGATTAAAGTGAACATATTTTGATTGATGAATTAGGAAAAACTGTACATTCAACAATTTCAATGTTAAAAAAATTGTCATCAAAGACAGATCCAGATTATTATAAAATTGTTGAAGCATACACTCATGCCAATTGCAAATCAATTCTGTTGGCAGTTAACATTACAACCATAGGATTCTGAAGGATTAATGGTTTTTGATATCAAAGCAAAAACTGTAGGAAACAGACACATAAATCACATAGGTCAGAAAATTATGAACCGTATGCCCAGTATAGTGTAAAGAGAAGATTGCTTCAAACAGCACCATGAGCCAAACTCCATATAAAAATGCCCATTAAGCACAAGTGGTGGAGATACGGCCTCATATGGTCCAATCACTCAGCAGTGTATTGGTGTTTTCTGAAATCAACTGACAAAGGGTATTTATGGTATTTCTGCCCTCTTTCCTATATAGTGCTTTATGTTTTATTACATCAAATTGGAAATTCCTAAAATAAGGTGAATCTGAGAATATAGAGTTCCATATGACTTAAAGAATTACAGATAAATAAATCCATTGCCTCAGAGATGAAGTATTTTCATGCCACTCTCAATAATTTTGTTCCTTTAAGAAGTGTGCACACATACATTTATCATTCCTTCTTAACTACCTGCATATCAGAATATAGAAAGCATGTTGGCAGCAGCTAATATTCTGATCAACACATGTATGTAATTCCTACTGTGGTCTGTGTAGTGGGCACAGAGGAGATAAAAAAGAAACAAACCCTGTGCATTAAAGAGGGACACTGGTAAATTAATAACATGGGCTAATACAGAACACAGGCTCAGATGGTCTGCTGCAATGCAGGTACGGCATTTAAGAGCTGTATTCTGAGACTCTCTCGTAGTATAGTCCAGTAAGAATGCATGATAACAGAGACTTCAGAGAGGTAACCAGAGAGTTTGCACAGTAAAATTGAAGGAAGAACAACCACAAGGGGCATCAGTACCTTGCTTGCTTGGAAAAATTATGTTATTCTTGTAATTAAGAAGTATAGTATCTGAAGGTGGGGCAGTGGTAGGTAGTGAGAAAGAAAAAAAGGAAGAGGAGGCCAGGTTGGACAAAGGCAGAGAATGGATTTTCGTATTGTGAAGGGTACAATCTGGCCATGGGCAAGCTGTGTTAAAAGGGGAGTGACCCAATTTTCGTTGTGCTTTTAGAAACATCATCCTGGAACAAAGACAGAGAATGGATTAGACACAGATACAGCTGAAAGCAGAAAATAATACCCTGCTAAAGAAGAAAGGTGGCAAGGCTGTAAAAAAAAAGTTGCAAATTTGAAGTCCATGAGCTATATCTGTTTGTCAGAATTTTTTCTTCATTTTCCACACTGGGTAGGGTAGGTCCTTTAACTGAATAACAACTGTATCCCCATTAAGGACCTCTGATTTTTATTTCATCAGGATCCCACTGCTCACACTGTTGCTTCCCAAGAACTGTGAATTTTACCATTCCTGACACTCCTCCAACCACCCTAGGCATGAATATCTGATTCTCCTAAATGAGTCCAGAGAGAATAATTTTAAGGTATATTTACAAAATAGAATGATTACCCTTCAGAACTGAGTGAACAGTGAAGAAGAAGAGTAAATTTGAATTTATTTTTTTCTTTGGCTTTTAAAACTTAGGTGAACGATGATTGATGGAATTAAGTAGTATGCTACTGGAAATATAACTTTTACATTCCCTAAACATGGGCAGGAATTATGTGCTTTACCAATTGCAAATTAACTCACATTCACCAAGAAATTTAAGACACTGAAATGGTCTGTATGTGTGGATCCCTTCCAAATTCACAGCTTGAAATCTTATCTTCCAAGATGATGATATAAAGAAGTGAGGACTTTGGGAAGTTGGTGGTGCCCTCCCTTTTGTGTGTGTGTGTGTAATGAATCAAAACCTAGAGCTATTCCTTTGCTTCTTTAGCCATGTGAGGCCAGAGGAGCTATGATTAGTCAGGAACTCCATCTTCATCAGACCCCAAAGTCCCTGATACCTTGATCTTGGGCTTGCTGGGCTCTAGCACTGTAAGGAATTTCTGTTGGTTATGAGCTGCCCGCTTTATGTATCTTGTAGTAGTCCAAACAGACTAAGATACTCAAATGAGGCACTGGACAGTACAAATGTAATTTCACAAATTCTAAAACATCTTTGGTATTTCACGTGCAAAACCTCAACAAGTAATTAAACTATCTTTAACTTTAATGTTTTCCAGAAAAAGCAACTTCTTCAAAATAATGAGAATCCAACACAAGAGACAAGGTGAAATATGTATTTTATAGTTTCCACCACCTATCTCACCATCATTAGCAGCAATAAAAACAGAGTATGTTTCATTTCCAAACTAACAAATATGTATTTGCAGGGTTGCTGTGAAGCAATGAAACTGTTCTGATTCACACTTCAAAGCATGAATTAGGTCTGCGTCCTTGGTCCTACTTTCACACCCTGAATTAGAGTGTTAAATCTTCTTTGGATTGCTAGTAAAAGGTTTCTCCACAACAGAATCATTAAGAGATGATTTTCTTATGGAAGTTCTCATTACAGCCACATTTTTCTGCTAGATTCCTTCAAAATAAAATCATTCTCCCAATTGGAATGTCATGCAAATCAGGAGGCAGACAGTTATTAAAAGTACTAGTGACAAAAATAACTGGATGATGTACCTGTAAGCATGAGGATGAGTGGAAAAGGACCTTTAATTGTGAGAGAGGATTGCTGCATGAGTTGGAAAAGAAACCCCAAGGCTTTTTAGGTAGTTACTAAACTCCCATGACCCTGCTAAGCTAGCTCAGGAAGGGAACAGTATGTCAATAATGGACACCACAGTTAATAGTGATCCAGAACTTGGCATGCAGGAGACACTAACCAGAGTGCTTCTACATTAGCTGGTTAACATAATCCTATGCAATATGTACTGTTTTCACTCCATTTTAAATACAGGAATGCCAAGGCTAAGAGAGATCTAACTACTTGTTTCAAGCCATTCTAGCTAATGAGAAGTGGTATTTGATTCCTTGCTGTGGGACTCTAATATCTACCATCTAATTTGATCTCTTGCAAGGAGTCACAGGGTCAGGTGGGCATGTATAAATCAATGTACACAACTAAGTTATGTAGCCTTAAAAATCCTCATTTTTTGCAGTAAAAATATTATCAGTGGTTTTTGCAAATTTCAACACATAATGCTTTTAATTCACTTTTTGTCTACACTTTCTAGTTAACATCCAGTAAAAGTTTAGAATTGCTTATAATTTAGCAGGGATGTTAATTATGAACATTTAAGACTCCATTCTAGCTTTGGCACAGGGTGTGCAGAACTGTGGGTGGGTGTGGGAGTAGCTCCTCAGTCAGTGGTTTGGCTGTGACATGTTATGGATGTGTGGCCCAGGGCAAATGATTTAACTGCTTTTTCATTTATTTCCTCCTCTCTAAATGAGCACAGCATGCTGGGCATGGTGCTGCAGACCTATAATCCCAGCACTCAGGAGGCTGAGCCTGGA